CCCTGCCACGTCCAGGGGGACCTCCTCGTGCAGGGGCTGCCCCAGCGCCGCGTGGCGGGCGCGGCAGGCGAAGATGGTGCCGGCGTCGCGCAGGTCGGGTGTGAAGGTGTAGGTCAGGGTGAGGCTGAAGGTCCCGTCCGGGTTCCTCTGGGGGCTGGAGCGGGTGGAGCCATTCAGGACCTGCCCGTCCCTCAGCCACGCCACGTCCAAGGCCTCGGGGTAGAAGCCCCCCACGTGGCACAGGAGGGTGGTGATGGCACCGGCCACGGCTGCCCGCTGTGGGATGGAGATGCTCGGGGGAGCTGGGAGGAGAGAGAGGAAGTCCCTGCGCTGGGTGTGGGGGTCTGAGCACCAGCCCGGGGTCGTTCCCAGGAGGCGCTCGGCTCCCACCGGTGCTCACGGCCACCCGGGGACGCACGCGGGGCCCCTCTCCGGCCCTCCACGAGCACGCGCAGGCTGGTGCTCCCCTGCTGCTGCTGCGCCCCGTAGCCCACGGCACACGTGTACAGCCCCCCGTCTGTCACCATCACCCTGGCCAGTGTGAGGGAGGCATCTCCTTTCTCTAGCTCTTTCTCTGCCAGGCTGGGTCCAAGCTGTGCCCAGCTCCTGCCATCATTGTACTGCGCCATCCTCCCATCCAAGAGGTACCAGGTCACCCGCAGGGAGCGCAGGGCCACCGGCCCCCCGACTTCAAAGTGGCACCGCAGCCGGACCTCAGCACCCAGCAGGGCCTGGGAGGAGGGGTCTGTCATCACCCGCAGCTGGGAGCCTGCAGGGAGGGGAGAGACGGGCGTGAGACAGTGTGGGGCATGACCGTGCAGGGGGAGATCCTGGCCTGAACTTGTGAGCTGGTGCTGGGGGGGCAGGTGCCTGCTGCACTCTGGCTGCTTCAGGGTGCGATGGACACTGGAGCCTCCAACCCCCAGGACATTGGGTTCCCCTCGGGGGCGCCTTGAGCTGGACGTTCTCTGTGGCTGTGGGTGGCTGTTGTGGCTTCCCTTTGCGGTGCTGTTCATGGGGTGAGGCACGTGCTGGGACTGGCCATGGCCCCCAACCTGAAGCCCTGCTCTTCAGGGTCTGGCGGTGAACTCCCAGCAGGAGTGGCGGAGGGAAGTGGGTGCAGTGGGGAGGGTCTGGGGGGCTCTGGCCAGGGCCTAGGCTGGGTCTGTGGACATCTGGGCTCTGCTCCACCTGTGCCACCGCCTGGCTGGGAACTTGGGTGGACAGGCAGGATGGACTGGTCTGTGTGGTGGCCATGTGAGCCTCAGAGCTGTGAGTTGCATGGAGGTTTGGACTTACTTGCTGTCCTGATGAAGAGGAAGGGGAGGAGGAGGACGATGAGAGCCCCCAGCCCCATGGATCCGAGTCCGTGTCTGTTCTGCTTCCTTCTGCAGCCGGGCAAAGTCCCCAGTGGTTTCACTTTCCCTGGGGAGCAGCAGAGCAGAGTCCACAGGGAGCAGCAACACCTGCCCGGCAGTGATGGGGGAGGGTACCGGTGCCCCAGGGCAGACACGGAGCTGCACCCAAAGCCTTGCAATGATGTCTGCCCCTGTGCCAGGGCACACGTGTCCATGCCAGGCTGTGGCTTTCCATGCCCCAGCCCCTGCCATACACCAGGGATGTCCCTGAGGGAGCTGGGAGGCAGATGAGAGCCCTGCTTCCCTTGTGCCTGGGTTGGGCGTCATGTTGCAGTGTGTTGGGGCTTGCAGCGTTGCTTTGCTCAGAGCTTGGCCCAGGGGCTGCGGAAGAAGCCCTGACGAGGGCACACAGGAGCCGCCTTCAGCCATGGCAAGGGTTGCCATCAAGAAGTGGGAAGGCACCTTCTCTCCCCTACTGCCGAGAGGAGGATGCAGACGAGTGGCTTGAAGTTGCCACAAAGCTGGTCTGGATTGGAGATCTGGGAACACCTCTTCCCTATATGCGAGGCTGCTTGGTGCGTCTGTCACTTTAAAACTGAATGAGGAGCAACCTGCAGGTGGGCAGGGGATGATCAGGGAGTCAGCTGACCGGAAGGGGCGGGTCTTGGGGCATATAAACCCAGACCCAGCTGGGCAGGCTGTCCAGCCCTGAGTGCCATGGGGAGAGGAGCTCTGGCCGCTGGGCTGCAGGGGGCTCCTGGGAGGAGCTGAGCTGGGAAAGCAGCGCCCAAGAGATGCTGGCCTGGGCTTGCACAAGACAGGCTGGGGAGCAGCGGGGCCAGGGGCCAAGTGCCTGAGGGGGCTGTGAATGAACAACCACTGGGGGATGTGGAAGGGGCTGAAGGGGAGGGATAGAGGTCTCACCTGGTCCCATGAGGGAGAGAGAGCAAGGGGCCAGAAGGATGGAGAGGCTGGGGCCTGGAGAGGAAGAGCCTGAGCCACTGAGGACAGAGTGTGGGGCCGGAGCAGGCCATGGAAGGGGCAGACCTGAGGATGAGCGAAAGAGACAGAGAGAGTCTGACCCCAACAAGAACTAGGTACTTCGGAGAAGGTCTGCTTCCTACCGGGAACCAGGAAGGTCTGGTGCCTGGGGGGAATTACTCCAGTGCCTGGTTGCAGAGCATTGTGTTGGGAGCCTGTAGCCCATGAAGAGTGCATGGCAGTGGACCCCATTAGGTTTCAGTGTGGCCATTGAGTAGGACGGAGCCCATGAAACTGGCTGTTTAGGCAATGCCCAGGGGCCCCTGTGGTGGTAATAGCAAGACCATGCTTGGAAAATCCCAGAGCAGCCTCCCGTTCACCAGGACTTGATAACAGGAGGGTGAGAAACAGGGAGATGCCCCCACAGAGTCAGATGAGCAAGGACTGAGCAGGCACCACGGGGCACCATGCCCGCCCCTTGGATGAACACATGCTGCTGCATTGGGGCTGGGCCAAATACAGTCCAGGTGCAGAGTCTGGCCTGCCAGACATTTTCCTTCAGCCCGTGTGCAGGCGGCCCCCAATTAATCATATCCAGCCCAGCCTGCGGCTGCCCCTGCTGTGCTCCGCATGGGGCCGAGCCCGGCCCTTCCCCTGGGGCAGTGGCTGCGCTCCCACCCTGGTGTGCTGGAGCAGTGTTTCTCACCCTGTGGCATGGATACCCTTGGGGGGACGTGAGACACAGGCAGGGGCTACACAGGTGCTGCATTTTGAGTTTGGCTTGCCCCCCTGCCTGGCGGGTTGGAGCATCTTTGCCTGTTTGGGTGGAAGTTCTGTCCGCTGCGTCCAGGGCACCGGGGCTGGCACTGCCCGGCATCAGTGTGCCGGGGGGAGAGGGAGAGGGCCCCGTGCCAGCTGCTTTTCCCCAGGCTGTGGTCCATGAGGAAGAAGTGGAACTCGGCTCACAGCGGCAAAACTAGAATTGGCCACGGTGGGATTTCTGGTGTTGCTTTTGCCGCCTTAATCGGCAGGTGGTACGTAGGGTACCAAAGGTGGAGAGCCACTGAACTAGATCATCCCAGCCAGGCTTTGTCTGCTTGGGTATTCAACACCGCCAAGACTGGAGATGACCGATGCTCTCTGGGTCCCCTGTGCCCCAAGGTGACAGCTCCAGGTCATGGTGCTGGTGCAGGCGGCAGGGCCTTTTTTGTCCATAAGGCAGCTTCCCTGACTGTCCCCAGGAGGGGCAGCCCTGTCCCTGAGTGCAGCCCCTCCAGCGGGCAGGGAGAGGGGAGACACAGCCCCGCAGGGAGCAGATGACGGGGGCCAAGGGGCTCCCGGGTGCCCCCCGCCCAGGGACTCCTGCCCGGCCCGTGGTGGGGGGTGCCTCGTGCTCAGCACCCAACAGGGTCGGCCCCCTGAGCACAGTGCCCGGCTCCACTCCCTGCACAGCGACCCGGGCCTTCACCACGTCCCGCCAGTGCGGGGGAACATCGCGGCTGCCAGGGGATCCAGGAAAACTGATGTTTTGCCTAAGGACGGGGCGCTGTTTCGATCCCAGTGCCCCTGTCCCTAGAGCCGTGACCCCAGGCTCCGTGACATGACAGCCACTGCGGGCACATGGTGGATGGCAGCGGGGGTTGCAATTTGCTTGTGTATACCAAGATGTCCCCCGTAGTCGGGTCGCGCCGGGCCCCTCTCCCCACCCCGTGCCTGGCTGGAGACACCAGGCAGGTCCCCCCGCGCTCCCCCGCCCCACACTCCTCCGGGCACGCCGAGACCGTGGGCTGAGACCCGCTGGCGTGAGAGGCTAACCTGAAAGCTTGCTTTAAAAAACAGAAACCCAACTATGTCCTTAGCCCAACACGGCTACACCCTACACCCTGTGGCAGGTGCTTGCAGGTGGTGGGGGGCTCCTGACACTTACCCGGAGTGGCGGGGAGAGGGCTCAGGCTGGAGCTAGACCGGCAGAGCCTGGGCTGGGCCTGGAGCTCGGAGCCGAGGACGCGGGGCAGCAGGGCTCCTGGCGGGACCTGGGTTTCTCTAGACCCCTCTGCCGGGATAAGGCTGAAGTTGGTTGCTGATTCCCAGTCCCCCAGTGGCACGAAGCCATGGTCTGGGGTGGCCCAAGAAGGATTTCTAGCTATAATCCCAGCCCAAAATCCAGTCCCTTGCTCAGGTCCATGACTATAGCGCAGGGGTTGGGAGGGTGGTCTCAGTTGCCAGCCTGGCACGGCTCTGGTCAGAGACGTCTAGGACAGTCCCCCAGTGCCAGAGCAGTATGGCATGGGGCAGGCAGTCCCCCGGTGCCACAGAGGCATGGTGTGGGGTGGCCCAAGAAGTATTTCTATCTGAAACCCCAGCCCGAAAGCCAGATCCTTGTTCAAGCCATTATACTTAATATAGCGGCATGGGGGCTTAGTTGGCAGCCTGGCACGGCCAAACCGTGCTTTGGGCCAGGCGGGACTGTGATCACAGGTCTTTGGGACAGTCCCCCAGTGGCATCACCAGGAAATTTGGGGTGGCCCAAGAAGTATTATTCCCCATAATCCCATCCTAATCTGACCTTCATTTAGGGCTCTGTACTTGATGTGGGATACTGTTTTACGTGTTAATGAGTACATATGCGTAGCTGATGAAATTCTCTCTCTTTAGGATGTGTAGTTCATTAATAACAAGTTTTTATTGAGTCTAGATGAGCTTTGAAAAAGGAACCGGGAACCAGGAATAAGGAATTGGGAATAAACAACCAACTTCAGCCTCATCCAGGCTCCCCCGTGCTTGGAGCCGTAGCGCGGCCTTGGGGAAGGAGTCAGGAGCACGGGGCTGCGTGTCTGTGGCCTCCAGGGGTAGACGCACGTGCTGGCAGGGTGCAAATGGTCTTTTATCCCTTGCTGTCATTAGAGGATCGACCTCCACTTGTGCCGCCACCTGAATCACAGAGACATAGACCATGAGGGCTGAAGGGAGCTCAGGAGGTCACGTCTAGTCCCACTCCCTGCTCCAAGCAGGACCAGCCCCAACTATCTCCTCCCAGGCAAGGCTTCATCCACCCAGGCCATAAACCCTTCCCGGGATGGAGACTGCAGCCCCTCTCTGGGGAGCCTGGTCCAGGGCTTTGCTCAGTCGGCTCCGCTTGCCCGCAGGCTCCCGTGACTCCGGCGACCGTGGTGGTCTCGGTGCAGGACGGCACTGCTGAGCACCGGACTGCCCGGCCTGTGACTGCAGTGAGTAACTGCCAGCCTCCCCTTGGGAGTCAGAGATGTCCTGTGATGGGGCGTCTCCCTCGGCCCGACGTGGGCACGTTCAAGTTCAACACTTGGGTGTTGCAGGATCCGGCCTGGGGAAGGATGCTGGTTTTGCCTGTGCCCGGCCTGGGCAGTGCTCATGGCGCTGCAGGGGCGGTCTGGCAGTGCTGGCCAGCTCACGGGAAGTCGATGCTGCGCCGGGCTCTGCGCTCCCTGGTGCCCCAAGCGAGAGGGGAATTCCTCTGTGGGCGAGGCAGGTGCCTGCAGGGGTCCCCGCGGCTCTGGCTCACCTGCCACGAGCACGTCCCAGCTCTGTCTTGCTAGGAGAGCACACAGCTGCTTTGCTGTGGTGGGTCGGGGGCTCGGCTCGGTGCTGGGCCAGGAGCTGGCTTCTGTTCTTGGCAGGGGGCTGGGCTCGGTGCTCGGGGGAGTGCTGCAGGGAAACAGGAACAAGTTTCCCAGTCACATCTGCATCCTCCCTGTAAGAGAGCCTGAGCACACCAGTCCGGGGGTCTGGAGCCTCCTGCCTGGTGAGGGGGCTGCTGTGGGTAGTGCGAGGCCCTGAGGTGCCCAGAGGGCAGGGGGCGTTGGTGGGCTGTGGAGCAGCGCGCAGGGCTGTGGAGCACCTGCTCCCATTGCACAGCACCTGCCGGGGCCCTCAGACCTCTTTGAATGCAGGGACCAGCACCAGGCTGGCACAGGGTGGTGAGTCCTGGTGGGGTCCTCCCTCCAGCTCCCTGTCCCCTGGGCAGGGGCAAACTAGAGTCACCCAGGTGTGCAGTTGTCTTGGGGTGGCCATGTCCTAG